AATAAAATAAAATAAAATAAAAATACTAGCATCAGAGTCATTTTGATGGTCTACTAAAGCTTCCCGAGGTTGAGTAATAGCTGGCTGTGTGTGTGGTGGGCAGGCAGCAGAGATGTTAATTTCTACGGTACCACCTCACCAGAAGGGAGGCGATCGACATATTCAATTAGTGGTTTCCAGTGATCATAAAATTTATTGACAGTGCCTCTCAGAGTAAATTTTATTTTCTCTAATTTAAGCAGAAATAAAACATCCTGTAACCAGGCTTTAAAAGAAGGTGGCTGGGAGGATTTCCATAGGAGAAGGATTTTTCTACGTGCAATTAATTAAGCAAAATCAATGGCATTAGTTTGAACAGTCGTCCTATTGTTTTTGGCTGGCAATATGCCAAAAATTGCTATTTGAGGGCACGGAGAGATCTTCATGTTCAAGGTTTCTGAGATTGTTCTAAAAAATGAATTCCAAAAGCAAAGTAGTTTGGGGCAGGACCAAAACATATGAGTTAAATCACAAGGAGCTTGGGAGCATCTGTCACATTTTTCCTCCACTTGTCTGGATAGAGTTTAGAAAGTTTAGCTTTACTATAGTGTAATCTGTTTAATACTTTAAAGGGCCAGTGTGTAAAATGGGTTGAAAATAGTGACATCAGTGGTCAAATTCTAGATTGCAGGGCTCACTCGCTCACCCCTCCCGTCGGGTAAATGACGGTGGCCTCGTAGGGACAAAAAGCCTTGCGCAGATACAAGTTTTTCAGGAGTAGGTCTATCTAGCGACGAGGTGAATATTTATTTAGAAATCTAAGCCATGTTACGATATTGTAATGAATCCCTTATGAGCAGGAGACCAGAGTAGCGTTCGGGAAAAAGGCCCGTTTATTTGAGCACTCCAAAACTCCGGTAACACTCCAGGGGGTAAAAGACTCCGTCCCAAACTCTGACTCTTCTAGTGTAATACATACACTCCATACACACATTCTCGTTTACAGTACCTAGCGGACCCCCCCTCCCCTCTCTGCTCCACCATTCTCCAGCCCGCACACTGACTGACAGCGTAGCCTGTAAACAGAGCTCAGCTGTTTATTTAGCCTAACAATATCTCCGGACTATAGTAGCTGCAATGGACGACTTTGAACGCAATTTTGAAGAGTTTCTTGTAGTGGACACAGACCCAGAGCCATACCTGTTTGAGCCGGAGCATACAGATGAGGAACTCCATGTGTTTGATGCTGAGCGGGCGAGAAGAGAGGCTGAATCCTCCGCTCCCATTTTGCTGCACAGAATGGGATTAGGTGCTACCATCGTTGGGGAGATATATCATCAGGAAGAAAAGCGCTGCAGAGAGTGCATCACAAAGAGTGAAGATGCGTCTTCTTTTCCTCGCAGATGACGGTTCAGGTTCATTCTCTCCTGTTGCGTGGTAAGTGTGGTCCATTCGCAAACTTTATAATTAAAAAAACTTTTCACTACTCTCCATCGACGAACTACTAACACCCTCTGCTGTTTCCTCCTCCTTCGTCCTTCCTTCCTTCCTTCTGCTGTCTTCGTTGGTTTATCTATACACGTGAAACGTGTTCTCTGGCTGGCTGGATTGTCCGCTCGGGCTGCCTTACATACATGGCGGCGCAAGATGACGACCTCTCTAAAACAAGGCCCTAAAAGCATAATTATAAGGCTACGAAAACCAAACGAATTTTATTTTATAGCGATTATACACTTATATAAACATATTAATGGGTAGAATATTCAGATTCAGATTTGACAATAAACCATGCCAAATATTACACACTGGCCCTTTAAACTGTATAAGATTAAGCCGAGCATAGTTAGAAGAGGAGTTAATAGCTCCTAGAGCTTTACCCCAAAAGTCGTCCGAGAAAGTAGTCTGGAGTTCTTTTTCCCAGCAATTTCTTATTTTGCTAAGCGCGGACTCCTCTGCCTTAACTGTAAATTTTGGAACCGAACATTCTGAGGTTTCAGTTTCAGAATCATTAGGTTTGGACACCAAAACAACTTGGTTAGGTTTTAGGAAAAGATCGGGGGGAAAAGGTCCAATACTAACAAGCTGAAACGGGTCATATCACCACCTATCGTAGCGGAGTAGTACATACTTCTGTCACTAAATGGATTCCCCTCCCATGCTTGTATACTGGGACAAGGACAGTAGTCCAGTTAAATGGCCCAGTCGAACGGTAGCAGTTAGATTTTCAACTGTGCAACATATTTAGTGTTTTTCGATTACCTAGGAATGAGAACAGGATGTATGAAAATACTCAAGTAAAGTACTACTAATATCTCAACACTGCGTATAAGTAAAATACTTCCACCACTGCTGAACCATGCAGCAAATATGCCATCAAAATAAAAAAGCGAAAAGAGGCTAAAAAAGTAAAGTTGCTGATGATTTGTCTCTGAAGCCCAGTTCAGACCAAAGACTGGCGATGAGACCAAACTGTTTCAGAACGTTGCAGAGAAAAGTGTCAGCGGTGTGAACTGACCGGTCTGAGCTCGACTCAAGCCGGCTGATGGTGTCACCTGACACTCAGCTGGTCAAATGGCCGGAGGCTGGTTTTAAAGCATGTCACCTGTTTCAACAGCCAATCAGCTTGTAGTGAAGTCCACTGATCAAGTCAAAATGACCGCAGACGGCATGTTGGCTCGCTGCAGCAGGTGCTCCATCCCCGCCGAGCACTCTGTTTCCATCCTCACGGTGTGCCAGTGTCGGACGGTGGGTCTCAGCTGCTGCTGCTGGCTGTATGTGCTTATGCCCCGCCCACACATACACATTCTCATTGACTGATGAATTGGCGCTGGTTATTTATATTATTGTGGCGTACTGATTATGAATACAGTCCATCTGATGCTGGTTTTGTTTCATCACTGTAGCCAGTATCTCACTATCACTATCCTCATTCAGATTTTAAGAAGCTACAAATTATATTCAGCCACAAAATAAGTCTGAAAAGCTGCAAATCAGATCAGAAGTACAGAGAGTTGTTGACTAGAGATGATACACCGTCTCATAGAGGTCACTTCCTGTCAACGTTACAAATCAGAAGAACAGAGAGATGTTGACTAAAGATGATACACAGTCTCATGGAGGTCACTTCCTGTCAACGTTACAGATCAGAAGCACAGAGAGTTGTTGACTAGAAATGATACACCGTCTCATGGTGGTCACTTCCTGTCAACATTACAGATCAGAAGTACAATTCCGTCCAGTTTTTTTAATCCAGTTTTATTTATAAAGCTCAACATCACAAGTCACATTTAGCCTCAGAGGGCTTTACAGCATACGACATCCCTCTGTCCTCAGACCGTCACTTTACACATGATCATGTGATCAGTAAATATTCTGATTATTGGAGCTTTAAGTCACAAACACAACCTACAGTCTCAGAAATGAAGCAGACATGATGAGCTGAAGGTGTTTCTACTATTTTGTCCACCCTCCCCTCCAAGAGCCCAGTTGTGCAACGAAGATCCTCTGGAATGTGCCAGATGATGATGATGATGATGATGATGGTGATGATGATGTGTGTCGTACAGAGCTCCCCCACTCGCCCTTGCTGCGGCCAATCACAGCG